CCGGATGAGTAATTGTGACATAGTTTAGCCTCCCTACCAATCTCCTATATCTTTCTGGATTTTCAAACACTTCCCCCACATTTGCTACAAGCTTGACACCTTCTTCCACCGGCGTATCACACGGCTTTGACCCAAGCAATCCAGTATCACCAAGAAGGTCCATCACATATTTCCCCTGTGAGAGAAATATGCCCTTCTTTGAGCGAGCAACTTCAATACCTAGAAAGTATTTTAGTATTCCCAAATCTTTAGTATGAAACTCAGCTCCAAGGAAGGATTTAAGAACACCAATTCCGTCTGCATCACTACCTGTGATTACAATGTCATCCACACACTATCAACAAAACACACCCACGGTTAGTATGTTTATAAAATACAGTATGATCACAAGCACTCCTCTGCATTCCAAACTTCATAATTGCATGGCTAAACCTCCCAAACCACGCAAGCGGGGATTGTCTTAGACCGTACAAAGACTTCTTTAACTTGCACACTTTCCCAGACTCCCCCTGAGCTACAAACCATGGTGGTTGCTCCATATAAACTTCTTCAAGTAAATCACCATGTAAAAACGCATTTTTGACATCTAACTGATATAAAGGCCAGTGATTAGTAGCAGCCAAAGATATAAAAATGCGTACCGAAGTCAATTTAGCCACCGGGGAAAAAGTCTCGGTATAGTCTATACCATACGTCTGTGCATACCCTTTAGCCACCAAGCGTGCTTTGAGTCTAGCAACAGAGCTGTTGGGGTTCATCTTCACCACATAAACCCATTTACACCCAATAGCTGTCTTACCGAATGGAAGATCCACCAAATCCCAGGTTTGGTTCTCTTCAAGAGCAGCCATCTCTTCCCCCATAGCACGCCTCCCGCCATCATGACACATAGCTTGTTTCAAAGATGTTGGCACTGAAACTGACTCTAACTGCGATATAAAAGCACGTGAAGAGGAAGATAAATGGACATACGACACAACTGACGAAATGGGATGAGCACAAAGATGTTTACCTTTAATTGTGTCAATGATTTCGTTCATTCATATATTTTATAGATTAGCTCCATATATTTTTTTTTGCAGAAAGAAGCTGATAAAGATAAAAATGATTACTTTTTTCAATCTTGTTTGTTTGATTACAATGCTTTGAAATTAATCAATTATATTTTGTAGATATAAGGATGCTTTAGGAGGTGCCTGGGTAGTTATGATACTGTTGATGTGCTACGTCTCAACTGAATCTCTTCGAATTGGAAGCAGTACATGGTTAAGTTTTTGGACTGATGGAAGCAGCTCAATGAGATATAGTTCCACTTTCTACAATCTTATTTATGCAGTTCTATCATTTGGTCAAGTATGAATTATTCAGAATTTTTAGACAGTATTATTGCTTGATATTTCTTTTTGACTAAATTAAGGTGTTACATGGCTGTACTCCAAATAAGACTATAAGATTGATATCCTGAAGGTGAAAATAACTGCATAAAGTTGAAAAAGGAAAAGAAATTCTCTCACTGAAATATCTCCATTGCAGGTTTTGGTAACACTTACCAATTCATTTTGGTTGATCACTTCAAGCCTTTTTGCTGCTAAAAGGTTACATAATGGCATGCTGAACTCTATTTTAAGAGCTCCAATGGTCTTCTTTCACACAAATCCACTTGGAAGGATTATCAATAGGTTTGCTAAGGATCAAGGAGACATAGATCGGAATGTTGCACCATTTGTCAATATGTTTATGAACCAAGTTTCCCAACTTATTTCAACATTTGTGCTAATTGGTATAGTTAGCACAATGTCTTTATGGGCCATAATGCCACTTCTAGTGCTGTTTTATGGCGCTTACCTGTACTATCAGGTATATTAATTTCTTACATCAATTGCTGTAATTTTTGCATTTTTATGTATTGCATGATGTTATAGTAGTTAAATGCCTCTAACTACTCTGATCTCTTCTGAACTTAAGTACTTTTGCCCTTCATATGGTAATTAACAGTTTGTCTTCCTATGGTTTTGTTTTAGTAGTCAAATACCTTGTTACTTGTATGATTATTCAACTTGGACTCTGGAAGTATGCTTCAAGCTTCTTGCAACTTGTTTATTAGTTTTGTTCTCTTGATCCTAATCAACCATCCATTAGATCTTTTGAGCTGTGCTTAATATTAGTTCAATAATTGGTTTCCTTGTAAAGTTTCCCCTCTTCTTGTTCTCTTTACTCATAATATGAGGGAAAATGGTTTGTACAAGGCAATGCAGTTACTCTAATATTTGCTCAAATATTATTTTTTGTCTTCTCTTAAACTTTATCAAGATAATCACGAGATTTTGTTGTCTAAAGTTTGTATCAGACTTTTAAGGCTTATCGGAAGAACACCAATTTTGTTGATCATGAAGAAGCCTGTCTGTTACTGAAATACTTGAATTTAGGTTTAAATGGGTGTATTCACTCCTTCAGGTTGATGGTTAATTGTGTTCTCATATGACGGTGATTTATTACTTGGATCTAATTTTGCATGTACATTTTTATGAAACCTGCAACTCTGTTTACTGTTTTAATTATCTAGCTTATGTATGTGTTTTCTGTTCCTTTATTGTCAGTTTGTCACTTATCATGATCGATATATACAACTGTTTTTCGCAGAGCACTGCCCGTGAGGTAAAGCGTTTGGATTCCATTTCTAGATCTCCAGTGTATGCACAATTTGGAGAAGCACTGAATGGTCTCCCAACCATTCGGGCATATAAAGCTTATGATCGAATGGCTAACATCAATGGGAACTCTGTGGATAACAATATTAGGTTCACTCTTGTAAACATGAGTGGAAATCGTTGGCTTGCAATTCGTCTAGAGACTTTGGGGGGCCTTATGATTTGGCTCACTGCAACGTTTGCTGTGATGCAGAATGGAAATGCTGAAAACCAAGAGGCTTTTGCCTCTACTATGGGTTTGCTTCTCAGTTATGCCTTAAATATTACAAGCCTATTAACTGGTGTATTGAGACTGGCGAGTTTGGCTGAGAATAGTTTAAATGCTGTGGAGCGCGTTGGCACATATATAGAATTGCCTTCTGAAGCACCTCCTATTATTGAGGACAATCGTCCTCCTCCCGCATGGCCCTCAGCAGGATCAATTCGATTTGAAAACGTTGTCTTACGTTACAGGCCTGAACTTCCTCCTGTTCTCCATGGTATATCATTCACTATTCCATCTAGCGATAAGGTTGGAGTGGTAGGGAGAACAGGAGCTGGGAAATCTAGCATGTTTAATGCTTTATTCCGACTTGTGGAACTGGAAAGTGGAAGGATCATAATTGATGAATGTGATATTTCAAAGTTAGGATTATTGGACCTCCGCAAGGTTCTTGGTATAATACCACAATCACCTGTTCTGTTCTCAGGTATGCACAAACTGATATTTTCTGTCTGATTTTGTGAATCAAATCACAGTGGGAGGAAGGAAAGATGCTTATAAATGCCATGTTTGATTTCCTTCTTTTTGGTTTTGCTTCTCTTTTCTGGTCCCTTTCTCAATGAATGCCTTTATTTTGGTAAATGGAGCAAAGCAAACTACTATGGGGAGTGTTATGAATATGAGATAGCTTATCTTTTGAAAGACAATTAAACGATTTGCAATCCAACTACTTAATGAACCTGCAGAAGAAACATACATCTCTTGGTTAGATCTGCATATATGTGATTGATCATATTGCCACTGCTTTGAGTAAAAAAACAACTATAATGATCACTTTCTTATGGTTTATTGTTGCCAGGTAGCGTGAGATTTAACCTTGATCCTTTCAACGAACACAATGATGCTGATCTGTGGGAGGCGTTAGAGAGGGCACATCTAAAGGAAGTCATCAGGAGGAGTTCTTTGGGTCTAGACACTGAGGTATGTGCGATATCTTCTTCACTTTCAAATTTCTATTGCCACCTGCTAGGCCTTTCAATCCCGCAATTTCGATAAACTATAACATTATGTTAGCTATGCTAATTCAAGTTCGACAATTACGTGCAAGCGATGAAGTTATTCTGTCTGTGCCTTCCCAACTTTATATTATATTATCGTTTTTTTTTAAATCACAATATTCTAATATTCCTCATTGGACTTTGTTACATCAAATATACCTTTGATTTATGTAGCCAATCTTTTTATGCGATATCCACTCAGGCATGGCTGTAATCGAGCGGATTTTGTGAATTTATCTATATTGTGGTCATTTGAATCTTCTTCACTGAAATTTTAGCTTTCTGCTATTGTATCAATGTTTTGTTGGTGTAATATAGGTGTCAGAGGCAGGAGAAAATTTCAGTGTTGGACAGAGGCAACTATTAAGTCTTGCTCGAGCATTGCTTCGCAGATCAAAGATTCTCGTCCTTGATGAAGCAACTGCTGCTGTTGATTGTAGAACTGATGCGCTTATACAGAAAACAATAAGAGAAGAGTTTAAATCATGCACAATGCTCATTATTGCTCACCGTTTGAACACTATCATCGACTGTGATCGAATTCTCCTGCTTGATTCTGGTCAGGTAGTAAAAAAGGCTCTCCCTTGTTTAAACCTTTGATTAGCTCAACATATCCATGGATTTCATTCACTATTTGACTTTGGTTTTACATTCTCCCAATTTATTTTAAACTAGTGTTGCGGTCCATGTTATTTTATTTATTACGGAGTATTTAATTTTTGTGATACCAAAAAATAAAAAATTTCATTTTAAGCATAAAAAATCAGTGTTGTAAAAATCGGTCTAGGCAGCCGTTTAGGAGCTAGGTGTCCCTAGGCTAAGGGGATCTCACCCCTAGGTGGCTTCTAGTCAGTCGCCCGACTTGGCCGACTAGGTGCCTAACTCAGTTGACTAGGCGTTTAACTTGGTCAAGTCGGCGCCCAACTCGGGTCGTGTGTGTGTGTGTGTTTCTTTTTTTTTTTTTTTTTTTTTTTTTTTTTTAAGGGTTTAGGGTGGCTACACTTTATTGTTATCATTATTATTTTACTCAACAGCCTAGGCGCTAGGCGCCTCCAGACTGCCCGACTAGCGCCTAGCGCCTTCTGCAACATTGTAAAACTACATTACATAGTTATCATGGCGTCGCCTAGGCGACGCCTTGGCGTCCTGTCGGTGGAGACAGGACGCCTGGAGGCTTCGCCTCGCCTGAAAATGGTGAGGCGAGCTCCGGCGTCGCCTAGGCATCCCAGACGACGCCAAGGACGCCGATTCAACGTCCAAACCCATAAACCCTACCCATTTTTAACTTTATTTTAAAAAAAAATGGTATCTCTGCGTCGGCGACTTCCACAGCCACCGCCGTCGCCGTCCCGCCGCCGTCGTCGTCCCGCCGCCGTCGCCCTTCCACCGCCGTGGGTCGTCATCGATGCTTCTTTCTTCTCCCACCGCCGTCGTCGACTGCCATTCTTGATTTTTTTTCTTCCTTTTCCTTCTTTCTCTCTTCTTGGCTTCATCGTTCAGAACTTCAGACTTATTTACTTTATATTTACTTTATAACTCCTAGAAAGTTGTAGCCTTGAGAAAAGGAATAGTTTTCTGCTTCTGTTTGTAAATGAAAGCTACTGCAGCTACAACTTCCCAAGTATATAATAAATAAGGCTGCCTATTTCCAACAAAATATATATATATATATATATATATATATATATATATATATATATATATATATATATATATATATATATTACTCATCGCCTAGGCGGGCGCCTAGTCGCCTAGGCGACAAGGCGGTCGGGGAGCGCCGCGACTTAAAAGGGCGCCGTGATAACTATGCTACATTATTAGATAGGCAATCTATGAAAACAATAGAAGTAACAAAGCTGGGAAAGTAGACCTTCCCTCTGCTTCTATCATTTTATATTTACATATGGTTTTCTGCACACTTTCTTCAGGTCTTGGAATATGACACACCAGAGGTGCTGCTACAAAACGAAGAAAGTGCATTTTCTCGAATGGTTCAAAGCACGGGAGCTGCCAATGGCCAGTACTTGCGAAGCTTAGTACTTGGTGGTAGAGATGATATGAAAACCGATGTGGAAAATCAGGCAGATGGGCAAAGGAGATGGTTAGCCTCTTCGCGCTGGGTTGCTGCTGCCCAGTTTGCACTGGGTGTAAGCCTAACTTCATCGCATAATGACCTTTTGCAATTGGAAATTGAAGACGACGGCAATAATATCCTCAAGAAGACAAAAGACGCGGTGATCATTTTACAAGGCGTTTTAGAAGGGAAGCACGACACAGTAATTGAAGAGACCCTGGATCACTATCATGTTCCCAGAGAGGGATGGTGGTCTTCTTTGTACAAAATGATCGAAGGTAAATGTTCCAACACTTCTATATCAATCTATCTGAACGGTACAACATTTATAGGTTGCGCAGTATGAGTTTTTGACTGAAATGGGCAGATTTCACAAGGAATGGACAAAAATGGGCAACGTTTAAAATTTGGAAAAGAGAAGGAAAAACTCATTTGGAACTTGAGTTTTTGGTTAAATGCGCAAGTCCCAGAGTTTGTCAAATTTCCAAAATTCTTTTTTATTTTTTTTTCGCCTGAAATATGACAAACAACTATAACGACAATAATTTTTTTTGATAAAACGTTTTGCGTTTGTCATATTTCAGGCGAAAAAAAAAAAAGAAGCTACATATGCAATGGCATTTAATTGTTCCATTTTTGTGGCTCAGGTCTTGCAATGATGAGTAGGCTGGCAAGGAACAGACTTCATCATCATGGAGAGTATGGTTTTGAGGAAAAAACAATCAACTGGGACAACACTGAGATGTAGTAGATAGATCAACTAACCAAGATTGAGTTATTGTTAATTGTTCTACTGCCTACTTGTACTTGGAAGTTGGAACTTCCCTTTTCAACACACTCCCAATTTTTATAATGCAACATTTTGGTCCCCCCAAATGTGCCACTTATTTTGCACTAGTTCTCATTAGTATAATGATTACACAACTAAAATTGACTCTTTTTGTCCCTTAATTATAGAAAATAGTATTTTTCCTCTCTTAATTCTCTGCGGGGTGCACTTTGTAGACAAATGCAGATGAAAGGCGGTGACGGTATAATTGAGGGATGAAAAGTATATTTATCTATAATTTAGGGATGAAAAATGTTATTTTCTTTTCAAAATTTATTTTTAAAATGCATTTGAAAATTACCCATTTTCAATTTTTTTTTTTTGCAAGTGTTTTCTATGTTGAACCATAAAAGAAATTAATTGACGGTGAAAATTTTGAACTACACCCGAAAAAAAAAAAATTAAGCAATAGGATTACTAAACAAACTTAGCCTCTTTGGGTAAATTAAAATATCAATCTACTAACAATTTCGGAACTTTCTCTAAGACCCTTTCCTCATATTGGAAACAAACCAATCGACCCTTTTACTCATATAGGAAACAAACCAAAGATTAATGGAACTTGAAAAATAATGATCAAACAACCTTTAAAGTAAATATGGCTCTCACAAAACACTATTGGTAGGGAAATAAAATTACGGCACCAAAACAAAACGAACTTTAAATACTTATTTGCATTTTTATTCTTTATTCCAACCAAACACTAGAATATAATTTCTAAATAATTCATTTGACGAACCAAACAATTGAATGAAATTCTTATTATGTTCCTTGCTTATTCTATTGTATGAGCCAAACATGTTGTTAGTTGATTGAGAAAATTGCACTTTTCGTCCTAAAATTATTGAGTAATTGTAGGATTCATCCCTACTTGTTGGTCATGCTCACTTCTCGTCTCTAAGCTACAATTGACGTTGCGAATTTCATTCATTTTCTAACAGGTCGTGCTCACTTCTCGCCCCTAAGCTACAATTGACGTTGCAAATTCGTCCATAATGTTTTGTTAGAAAAATGATGAAATTTGCCGCATCAGTTATAACTTAGGAACGAGAAGTGAAACATGATTAACAAGTAGAAATGAATCCTACAATTACTCTAAAACTTAGGGATAAAACGTACAATTTTTCCCTAATTGATTTATTTTGGTTCACGTACACCTAAAATCATACTTTATTTTGGAAAAGCAAGTGGTAATAACTTTTTGAGTGTCATGGATGAGAACTGTAATAATTGTATTGAGTGAATTAATGACAACTGTACAGGCTAGGAAAATATATACAAGAGGAATCATAGGGAGACTAGGATAGGGAGTCATAATGTGACTCAAATACAAAAAGTCCTAATACTAGTCCTAATACTCCCCCTCAAGCACATGGTATGCTAGTAACATGTAGTTTGTCTCTAAGAAAAGAAAATCTAGGACTAGGCAAAGCTTTTGTAAATATGTCTGCATGTTGATCTTTTGTTGATATCTCGAACAAAGTGATAATCTATCTCAACGTGCTTGGTACGAGCATGGAAGATGGGATTTGCACACATATAAGTAGTACCAAGATTATCACACCATTGTTTAGGGATAGAGATACCTGGAACTTTCATCTCACGTAGTAGTGAAACGATCCAAGTTACTTCAGCACAAACATCTGCTAGAGCTTTATATTCAGCCTCAGTAGAAGATCTAGCCACAGTTCTTTCCTTCTTATAGACCCAAGATATAAAATTAGTCCCCAAAAAAACAACAAAATCACTAGTGGACTTACGATCTTCAGGACAACCAGCCTAATTAGAATCAGAAAAAGCATGAATTTCCTTTGACATTGATTTCCGTATACGCAACCCAAACCCAATTGTTCCTTTAACATACCTCAAGACACGTTTCAGTTGCTCCCAATGTGATGTGGTAGGAACATGCACTGCTGACAAATTTGATTAATCGCAAAGGATAAATCAGGTCGTGTAACAGTGAGATATTGTAGTGCTCCAGCCAGACTCTTGTACTGCGTAAGATCATCATATAAGTCTGCACTAAAGGGAACAATTTTCGAAACAGATATAGGAGTAGAAAGAGGTTTGCATTTTGCCATTCCAGCACGTTTCAAAATATCATTCATATATCGCTGTTGAGACAATAGGATTCCATCATCACATTTAACAGTTTCAATGCCAAGGAAAAAATTTGGTTCACCAAGACTTCTAATCTTGAAAGTGGCAGACAATTTTGAGAGTAAGTGAGTAACTAGGGCCTGATCACTGCCCATTACAAGAATATCATCCACATAGACCAACAAAGAAACCAGTGCAGAATCTTAAGAGAAATAGAATAGAGAGACATCTGTCTTTGATGCTTGAAAAACAACGAATATTAAAAACGTGTGTAAACGATTAAACCAAGCTCTAGGAACTTGTTTTAATCCATACAGAGAACATTTTAATAAGCATACATGGTGTGGAAAACTAGCATTAATATAACCAGGGGGTTGCTTCATATAAACAGCTTCATCCAAATTTCCATTTAAAAAAACATTAGAGACATCTAGCTGCCTGATAACCCATCCAAATGATAAAACTTAAGGATAACAAAAGCCTTACAGTTGTGGGTTTCACTACTGGACTAAATGTATCAAAGAAATCCTGACCTGGAACCTGATTGAAACCTTTTGCTACTAACCTGGCTTTATGCCTCTCAGTAGTGCCATCAGCCTTCCTTTTCGTGCGAAACACCCATTTACACCCAATAATATTCGGAAGGAACTAGGGACCAAGTCTAATTCTATAGTAGAGCATTAAATTCTTGGTCCATAGCTTCACGCCACTCAGGATATTTAACAGATTCAGTGTAACATGTAGGTTCCGTAGGACAAACCTGAGCAGCCAGAGTCGTAGGAGGAGCCTGGGACTTATTGCGAGTCACCATGGAGTGGGTGCGGACGGTTGACCTCATCGATTTGCCACGCGGATGTCGTGCAACCTCTACAGGTTCGGCCGAGGATGACGTAGGCTGCACGAAATCAGCTTGCATGGGCTCGTCCGGCAACACAGGCTCTGGCGGCGAATCTGGATGCACGAAATCCGATGCAGCATTGCTGACGTCATGGTGGAGAATAGATTCTGCCCAAGGAGCAGTCTGAGTAGGTGGTGTAGCTTGCATGGAAGATTTATCAGCAAAAGGAAATACTTCTTCATCAAATATAACATGCCTGCATGTGTAAATCTTATTAGTCTGTAAGTCCATGCACCTATACCCCCTAAAAGACTCAGGATAACCTAGGAAGACACAAGGAAAAGACATGTATGACATTTTGTGACGATTGTATAGTTTTAAGTGAGGATAACATAGACAGCCAAAGACACAAATAAAAGAATAGGATGGAGGAGACTTGTGCAACACATGATGAGGACTAGAATTGTTTAAGACACTAGAAGGTGATAAGTCTCAAAATATGCTAGTTTTTAGGAGCCTTTTATAGGAGTTTTGTGCTCGTTTTAGTGGGAAAGTCTTGCTTTTATAGCAAAATGTCCCAAAAGAACGGTCTAGTACGGAAATACCTTTCTAATTGTATTTTACGTGTTTTCAGGTATTTTTGGACGAAAAAGTGGTAAAAGGGGTCGAAAGGAGCAAAGCCCGAGAAAAGAGTGCGCACGAGGATCACAAGTCATGTCCGTGAGAAGGAGAAAAAGGGAATTATTTCTCATTTACGCCCTGCCTCACGGTGTGAGACCAGCGTAAAAGATCTAAGGAGG